CGACTTCAATAAATTCACTTCTGAAGGCTGTTTATCTTGATTTTGTGAATAGTGCTCTAATACTTTGTTATTCCTTTTTTTGAAAAGAGTCACCTTGTAAGAATATTAAAATATCTTTATGTAAAAACATTTAAATATAAATGTCTAAGTTCTTTCCTTCTTTTACTATGGAATTATATTTTGCCATTTTGTACTTCATTGTCCTTTGTTAAATTGTATCGCATATGTTACTTTGTGAATATTTGATGATTATATTAATAGAAGATAGAAATCTTTGTATTTTTGTGAATATACGATGATATTAATGGAAGAAAATTTTTATGTTACATAATTATGTAATTTTCTTTCTCTTCTAATCTGTATTTCTGTGCATAAAGTTTTTCAACTATATAATGTATATGAAACAAATTTGTTTCTGTTAAAGTTAAACTTTATTTTGTTTAAGATCTCTCCCTCCCCATCTATGTCATCTTTTTGAGCACTTTGAATTTGAATTTGCATACTGAAAATGCATTGCATGGTTATATACATGATCACATTTGTTTTCTTCTTTCTAATCTAATATGCAAATTAATCCAATGCATTATTCTCAGCTGTGTATAATTAAAATAATCATTGTGTCAAATAAATTTTATCAAATATTTTCTATTTTATATCTAGTAATCAGACATAGTTCTAATACAAATTGAATAATCATAGTTTTTGAACTATCATAATCAGTTATCTTCTCTTTCAAGCATTATCAGTTTCAAACATTTGAAATTAATTATTTCGAAAGATTAACATAACTGTACGAGAAAAAGATTAAAAAAACCAGATGGTCACATATTTCTACAAATTTACCAACTAAACGGAAAGTGCAATTTAAAATTAACCTGTCTTAATCTTATGACATCTAAGAGATATTTGTGCATTACTTTTGCGAACTAATAAATTATCAATTTCATTTTAATTAAGTGTCAAAACTACTAAAAGTAGCAATATTTTATGCTTAATTGACTATGCTGTGTGCATTGCGCTAGAACTGGTCATATATGGTGTGGTCATTTTATAGTTTAAATATTTAAATACACTTTTGCAATTAAGTTTGCGCAAAAAATCATCAGCAAAATTAATAAAACTTTCAATTAATAATGGTTTTAATTAAATTTAAGAATTAAAATTAAATTTTATTTCAAATTTAAATTTTGAATTTTTTAAAAATTTTAAAATTTGTAATAGTTTTCGTACATTAAACAAGGAAATTGGTTCTAAATTATCAATTTCAATTTTAATTAAGTGTCAAAACTACTAAAAGTAGCAATATTTTATACTTAATTGATTATGCTGTGTGCATTGCGTTGGAGCTGGTCATATATGGTGTTGTCATTTCATAGTTGAAATATTAAAATAAGCTTTTGTATTTATGTTTTACGCTAAAATTCATCTGCAAAATTAATGAAACATTCAAATAATAATGGTTTTAATTCAATTTAAGAATTAAAATTAAATTTTATTTCTAATTTAAATTTTGAATTTTTTAAAAATTTTAAAATTTGTAATAGTTTTCGTACATTAAACAAGGAAATTGGTTCTAAATTATCAATTTCAATTTTAATTAACTGTCAAAACTACAAAAAATAGCAATATTTTATACTTAATTGACTATGCTGTATGTATTGCACCAGGGCGGGTCATATATGGTATGGTCATTTTGATGTTTAAATATTAAAATACGCTTTTGCAATTAAGTTTTCGCAAAAATTCATCAGCAAAATTAATTAAATTTTTAATTTTTCACGATTCTAGTTCATTCTTACAATTAAAATTAATTTATATTTCAAATTTAAATAACCTATTTGTAAAAATACCATAATTTATAAATGTATTAAACTAGGTAAGAAGTCTTACTATCATCAAAATTTAATTTTAAAGGATGTTAAAACTATTAAAAAATATCATTTAATAAAAAAAATTGATTGTTATTATATAGTGCGGGAACTGGTCACATACATTGTGGTCATTTGACATCTTAAATAATAAAATAATGCTTAGGCTTAGGCTTGGGGTATACTTAGGCTTAGGCTTAGGATATACTTAGGCTTAGGCTTAGGATATACTTAGGCTTAGGTTTAAGCTTTATCTGAAAATTGATTTTGGTGAAAATTTTATAATTTGCAAGAGTTTTTGTATATTAAAGGGGAAATAATTTCTAGTTTTATCAATTTTGATTTTAATTAAATGTTAAAAGTGTTAAAAATATATATTCATTAAAAAAAGTTAGATATTTCGAGCTTAATTGATTAATTTTTGTGCATTACATGGGTACTGGTCATTTATAATTGGTCAATTGATCAGCATGAATAATAAAATAAACTTTAAAAATTAAGTTTCAATAAATATTTGACTTGCGGAATTGATTAAATCATTAATTTATCACGGTTTTAATTCATTCTTACAATTCAAATTAATTTCTACTTCAAATCTAAATATCAAATTTTATGAAAATTCAATAATTTGTTAGGGCTTTGTACATTAAACTATGAAATAAATTCTAGCAATATCAAAAAATCATTTTAATTAAATGTCAAAATATTGAAAAGAATCGAATCATTAAAAAAAATTATATGACTTGAACTTAATTTATTAATTTATAAGCGTTACATAAGTATTGGTCACATGCATTGTGGTCATTTGACATCTTAAATAATGAAATAATGCTTAGGCTTAGGCTTAGGGTATACTTAGGCTTAGGCTTAGGATATACTTAGGCTTGGGTTTAAGCTTTATTTCAAATCTGAAAATTGATTTTGATGAAAATTTTATAATTTGCAAGAGTTTTTGTATATTAAAGGGGGAAATAATTTCTAGTTTTATCAATTTTGATTTTAATTAAATTTTCATTGATTTTAATTTAAATTTAATATTCGAGAAGTGATATTAATAAAATTTTTAATTTATCGTAGATTTAATTCATTTCTGCAGCTAAATTAGTTTTTGTTTGAAATTTTAAGATCGAATTTTATGAAAATTTTATGATTTGCAATGAATCAAAACCTTTTTTGTATATTAGACTACGAAATAATTGCTAGTAATATCAAATTTTACTTTAATTAAATGTTAAAACTGTTAAAAAATATATATTCATTAAAAAAAGTCAGATATTTCGAGCTTAATTGATTAATTTTTATGCATTACATGGGTACCGGTCATTTATAATTGGTCAATTGATCAGCATGAATAATAAAATAAACTTTAAAAATTAAGTTTCAATAAATATTTGACTAGCGGAGTTGATTAAATCTTTAATTTATCACGGTTTTAATTCATTCTTACAGTTCAAATTAATTTCTATTTCAAATTTAAATATCAAATTTTATGAAAATTCAATAATTTGTTAGGGTTTTGTATATTAAATTATAAAATAAATTCAGTAATGTCAAAAATTTATTTTAATTAAATGTTAAAATATTTAAAAATATCAACTCCTTAAAAAAAATAGATATTTTGACCTTAATTGATTAATTTATAAGCGTTGCATAAGTACTGGTCATTTACGATGTGGTCAATAGGCAACATAAATAATAAAATAAAAAAAATTTAACTTTAAAATAAGCTTTAATAATTAAGTTTTAATTAAATACATGTTTAACAAAATTGATTAAATTTTTAATTTGTCACGGTTTTAATTCATTTTACAATTAAAGTTAAATTATATTTCAAATTTAGATATTGATTTTTATGAAAATCCTACAATTAGCAGGAATATGAAATGAAACCCGGCATTGTCAAATTTCAATTCAATTAAATGTTAAAACATTAAAAAATATCAATTCAATAAAAAAATAGATATTTTCATCTCAGTTGATTAATTTTTATTCATTTCATGAGTACAATTTGATATTTAAATTTGAAATAGAAATTAATTTGAATTGTAAGAATGAATTAAAACCGTGGTAAATTAAAGATTTAATCAATTCCGCTAGTCAAATATTTATTGAAACTTAATTTTTAAAGTTTATTTTATTATTCATGCTGATCAATTGCCCAATTATAAATGACCAGTACCCATGTAATGCATAAAAATTAATCAATTAAGCTCGAAATATCTAACTTTTTTTAATGAATATATATTTTTTAACATTTAACATTTAACTAAAGTAAAATTTGATATTACTAGGAATTATTTCATAGTCTAATATACAAAAAAGGTTTTGATTCATTGCAAATCATAAAATTTTCATAAAATTCGATCTTAAAATTTCAAACAAAAACTAATTTAGCTGCAGAAATGAATTAAATCTACGATAAAATAAAAATTTTATTAATATCACTTCTCGAATATCAAAAAAGACTTAGTTATTAAAGTTTATTTTCTCATTTATGTTGTCGATTGACCACACCGTAAGTGACCGGTACGTATACAACGCATAAAATTAATCAATTGAGTTCAAATTAACTAATTTTTTTTTAATGAATTGATATTTTTTAACATTTAACAAGAAAATTAGTTCTAAATTATCAATTTTAATTTTAATTAAGTGTCAAAACTGCTAAAACAGCAATATTTTGAAGTTAATTCATTATGTTATATGCATTGCACGGGGGCGGGTCATATATGGTTGGTCATTTTATAGTTTAAATATTAAAATATGCTTTTATAATTAAGTTTTGCGCGAAAATTCGTCAGCAAAATTAATAAAACTTTCAATTAATAATGGTTTTAATTCAATTTAAGAATTAAAATTAAATTTTATTTCAAATTTAAATTTTGAATTTTTTAAAAATTTTAAAATTTGTAATAGTTTTCGTATATTAAATAAGGAAAATGGTTCTAAATTATCAATTTCAATTTTAATTAACTGTCAAAACTACAAAAAATAGTAATATTTTATACTTAATTGACTATGCTGTATGCATTGCGTTAGAGCTGGTCATATATGGTGTTGTCATTTCATAGTTGAAATATTAAAATAAGCTTTTGTATTTATGTTTTGCGCTAAAATTCGTCTGCAAAAGTAATGAAACATTCATTTGCGTATTCACCACGCTTTTACGAAGCATTACTACTATTGTCCTCTTCCGCTTCAATGACGAGTGTTGTTCTTATGATTATTGTGGTTGTTATCCTGAGAAGGTATGGCTTTTCGTAGAAATGAAATTGTCTAATCGTAGAAATGAAATTGTGCTATCATTGAGTAATACAGTCCGTTGCTTCATTCCTTTGCTTTATGTGTCAGAATTCAATTATTCATTCAGTAGAATTATTCTAAATTAATTACTATTCATTCAGCGGAATTACCACTAAATTATTACTGAGTGCTAACTGAAACGACAAAACTGCAAAGTAAATCAAAGAAGCACACGATAACAGAATTATTGCATATATCTTTCGGGGAATGTATAACACATCAAACTGCTTCCTCTTTACGCTGTTTACGTCAGGTAGCAAACGTCAATAAATCAATTCAAAATATGAATGACTCACTATCACTTTTAGGAATTTCGGTGCGCAGTACCTTTCAAGCAATTCGCATAATCGCAATTTGTCACATTTTCTCAAAAATAAAAAGCGATACACTCAAACATCACTGATCTCTTGCTGTTTCACATTTTGTACGTTGCTACGCGGATTTCTATGAACAATTCTGATGAAGGCTAAGTACTTTCAGTAATAACGAAACATTGCTATTCTTTCTGATTTTAGGCGATAACTTTAACTTATGATTTCTTCAACTCCCGGGTAACCGAGAAATTACGGGAAGTTATACTTGAACCTTTTACATAGCAAGGAATGTAGTGAATTTTATATGTAAAACCTGCTTTTATTACTTATTTCGTTAATTTCATCTTTATAGTTCTTGTGGTGGTATCAGCAATAATAGAACATATTTGCGAAGCAGATCCTTCTGCAGCGTCGCATGTCATTGTGATGGTTTGCGTTTACACACGTCTACTGAATTCCTTCAATTTGGTGACATTATTTTTGTGTCGTCAAAAAGATTTTCAGCGTGTTGTAATTCGATATTTTAAATGCATATTCTATGGAGAGAAACAGGTCCAATCAGTCGTAACTGTTGGTTTTGTAACACGAACAAATCACACCGTTTTCTGATTCAATAAGATTAGTTCACTGATTATCAGTCCTATTTGATCACTATAATAAACTTTGCCATTAAGCATTTTTGCTTAACAAGGATTATTCTAAGAAATCCTTTGATTGCATACATATCATCCCAGAAAATCCCTAAAATATTACCGGAATACGAGATGTACCGCCAATTAATTCAACTGAATGCTTTCTTTCCACATTCCTTTAGCAAATTTGTCAGCAAAGCTGGAAGTGGTTGTGTGAGTCTGGAAGTCACGCTATATGATATTCCTGGAGGCGGTGATGATGTGGCTGTTGAATTTCGGATGAAAAACACCAAAGGAAGCATTGTACAGACAAGTGCTAAACAAGCAATTGAAGTGGTATGACAGTCGTCGGGTATTATTTCTGTAACAACAACAACTACCAGTTCATTTGCTCAGCAACAACAGCAATAACTTATTGAAGTACCTGGAATAATTCAATAGCAGCAGCATCATCAACAACAACAAGTACAGCAACAGCAGCTTCTGTAAAAATCCCATCACCATTAGATGTTGACATGCCATCAAAGTACCATTACAAGCAACATGATGGTTTCGATGCGCAGAAGATAGTAATATACCTGACGAACATGGGTGTTTTGACATTCCCGGGTGGTTTATTAAGTTCGCTTAGAGCATCCATATTCGTCATTTATCTTACTATCTTTTGAGCATCGAAATCATCATGCGTACAAATGAGATTACTGATTCACACAAATCTGCATTTCTATCTTGAAAACCCGTCACGAACACTACTTAAGAATTACAATTAAGTGAGGTAAAATAAGGCAAGCAGACGCCTCACAAATAATTCAGCGCTCTTTTAAGTATTTTCACAACCTAAAGCAATATAACAAATAGAAATTCCATTAAAGTATCGAGAAATAACGCGAAAGAACTGACATATTTAACCACTAGCAAAATTGATTAGTCGTTTTCGTCAATATCAGCACGGTATTACATTTGTGGACGAATTTTAAACATTCGTAACGAGTTTTCTGGACAGCAATGCAAATTGTCTGAATCGGTATTCATCGGTTTATTATTGGTATCACTTGCAAGATTTCATATAACATATTTGTTACTCACATTCTCAGCTCCCATATAGTATTTTAGAGTTTTGCGATATTAAAATCCACCACAAGCGCTATTGTCGTGGGAAAAAAGCTTACATGCCCCTATGAGGTTGCGAGCTATGCTGGCAGAGGCATAAGATCTTCCATGCCAGAGATGTCTCAACCGAACGGTCACAGAAAGTGTGCTCACAGTTAGAATTGGCTTATTGACGACTCTAAATCCAAACTCGGGCATAGACGGTTCTTTCACCTATAAGGCCATCTTTATAAGAAAGAGGCATTCTAGAGAGATATAAAAAGATACAGCAAACCAAATAGCCTTATTCAAGGACATCACTGGCATAAAAGTTGTCTAACCAAAGGCTGTCTCCACCTTTCATCCGGTTAATATCCAATGGACATTTTCTGAACGTTTGGCCAAAGATTAAAAAAGCATAAATTTCCCTTCAAAAGTGTGATCACTTTGAAAGATTAGAACTACATTGCACTTTAGACGTCCTGCACGTCGTTCTGCTCTAATTGTCTGCAAACTGTCACGACTTGACATTGACACTGTTCCCACTTAATGAACTAATTTATACATTCTGTTGGCTGGGCAAGCTGAAAACCGAAAAAGCATTACTCAGCAGTTGATTTCATGGTTGGAAGACCTCAAGAAAACTAGATAAACTTTCTACAACAAATGGAATTTATAGATTGAAATGAGGATCATTCTCGATCAGAAATTGAAATATTCTTTCAAATGCTCAAATGATTAGTGGAGCAAAGTATAATAAAATATAATAACTTAGAAGAAATGGTACTTGCATTTAAAACTTTCCTGTAATACTTTTAGTATAATAATTCAGAGCAGACTTTTTATACGCTTAGCTTATGTTCAGATAAATTACATGACTGACTTCTTATTTTTAGACAACAAAAAAGGGAAAAAAAAGTGTAAAGCAACTTTACATCAAAATCAAATTTTCTGTTATCTTACTTTTACAAATTGCTTTCTCTTTTACAAAAATTACTCGAAAATTTCAAAATCATTTTTTAAAGAATAGAAAAAATTATTTTTGAATTGCATAAAATGTGAAAAAATCTTTACTGTTAGAGACAACGAATGATATATTAAGTTAAAAAAAGAAAAAAAGGAACAATATTCCATTTGTTTTCCTATTTCAATCGCTAAAATTATATCATTTCAAAAGATTTCAGTTGTAATTGAAGATTAACACAGCACTTTGTTAATATCATTTCATGGTGACTTATATTCTATCCTTATTTCTTTCAAATATATTTAAACAATTTACAAATTTCATGACATTTTCTGTCTAGAAGGATTCATGACAATAATACATCAATTAACAAATGATACACTCAAATCAGTTGAAAAAACATGCATTGCAGACCGTAAATTTCATGCTGAGGCCGCATTAAAATCTGAACTCTGTTGTTGGGATGTGTGATTGGCTTATTCTTTGGGAGCTTTGTTGGAATGATTTTTGGGAGTATGATGAACTGATGGTAGGCGTGTTGCGTTGAACATGACGTATACGTCAACATTTGAGTGTTATGTGTGGAATTGTTTTCTCATAACCAAAAAATATATAATTTATGCTTCGGTTATGACAAATGTTTATAGTTTTCAGTTACGTGTGATTACTGCTGTTAATTAAGAATTGTGAAATGGGGAAGCGTAAGGTAAAGCGAAAGCCACCACCAAAGGTGAAATCAATTGTACCGCTGGAGACACAATTTAATTGTCCATTCTGCAATCACGAAAGAGTGTGTGAAGTAAAAATGTCTGTTTTTTTTTTTTCCTTTGCAAATTCTAGAATTTGTTAATTCCGGATGTTGGTAAAGTATTTGAATAGTGCATTGGACCCATAGATGGGTGTCTTATCAATTGTAGAAATTAGTGAATGCGATTTTACTGCTGAAGGATGCTTATTCCTAGTTTAAATCTTATGTTCTGGTTTGGTAGAGAACTTCTTTTGGAATTTGATTACTGAGTCTTAAATTTTTATCAGTGAGCAAATGTTAGACTTAAGCTTAAAATCGCTCGAAAGAAAGATGTTAATAGGGTAGTTCATAGACAGACTCGGTTGTTTAATAAAGAGAAGAAAGATTTCCATTTTATCTGAATTAAAATTTCTGCTATAAGTAATGCTTTTGAAGACTTATAATTAATATATCACAGAAAAATGAGACAATTTAAAATGTCAGATCATATTTTACATTCTGCAAAAAATCATCCTAAGTTAGTGTGAAATTCATGTACCAGTTTGATATTTAAAAAAAATGTAATACTCTAATATCGATGGTATTTATTACTTCTTCCTTTGTTTTAGGGATCGTGAAAGAAATGTCGGTTTCATTTCGTGTAGAGTGTGTTTGGAGGATTTCCAAACAAATATCAATTATCTTTCTGAACCAATCGATGTCTATTCGGACTGGATAGATGCATGCGAGCAAGCAAATCGGTGAATCATTGTTGTCCGTCACTATTTTACTGCTGTTTTCTTCTTTCAGACTATTTTGTAGTAATTTGTTGATTTAGCAAAGTATAGGGATGGAAATAGAGGGTTATTTAATTACCATATATGCTTAATGTCATATCATTTTCAAGGTTTAATCTCAGGTTACATTGTGACAATTGTATTGTTATAAAGATAATAAGTGTTTCCCGAAACTTTTTCAATCATAACCAAATATATCTCATATTTCCCAAGCATTTTCGGCATCCCAAAGTATTTTCGTTTCTTACTTTTCCGCTTTTTCAACAAAATGTTTCATTCCACGGTATTCTTCTATGCTTTCGAAATGAGATTGGATTAATTTAATTGTAGTGGTTATACGAAGAATGTTAACGTAATATAATGTTGTGCAAGATAGAAACGACGATGTTATAGATTTGTAATCAGATGATTTGATTTCTTCTAGAGGAAAAATACAAAAGATTTTGGATTTCGCCGACTAATTTCAAGTCAAAGTATATCATTATTTTGTGCTTTCGAATGTATACAAAAATATTACAGTTGTTCAGCTGTCAACATTCTTGAGTATTTTATTTTTTAATATATCTCTTCTTATCTAAAACTCACTAAAAGAAAAAAAAAAACTGCTCGGTGTATATTCGCTTTATCATTTATTCGATTATAAACTTGCATTAAATGCATTCGTTGAAGTTGTTCATATGTTGGAAAATCTGTGAATAATGTTTCTGGTTTGTGTGACAACAGCGTCCGCAATTTAGGCTTATAGCTTCTAATTAGCTTTTGAAATTTAAAGCCCCATCGTACTATTCGCCAGATTTTTATATGGTAGCAGCAGTTTGAATTTATTCCAAACTTCATAAAAAGAATTTTTTTTTCGATATTAGAATTAGAAAAATTAAAGACTTTTTCAAATTTACTTTAATCTACGTGAACTGTTTGTTACCAATGATTTGCTTATTCTCTAATAGTAGGAGCATGAAGTTATTTGGGAGTTATTTGTTGAGATGGAATAAATATTTCACTGTTATAAGAAAGATGAGCAACTGTAAGATATTTGAAGAATTTTTATGTGGTAATGGATTTTCCTAATTTACTGACATTCACAGTACGGAAATCATTGACCTATGTGAGGCCCATATACAGAGTATTACTAAAAGCTAAGATAAATAAAATTCATACAATAATATATAAAACTGGGGAAGATAGTACCATATAGAATATTTCAAATTTTTCAATTCCAATCTAGAATCACTGGAAATAAATAGTGAAAATACTAACAAAAATGATTAGAAGAGTTATCCAATGACAAACTGAAATAATCGTATCAAATCTAAATCTAGAATTTTCCAGGAAGATGGTTTGTTTTTTTTTTTTCCTGCTAATGTAAAGATCATTGAAATCTTCATTCTGCAAGAATTTAAAAAATTGACCAAATTTTTTTTTAAATTTTTTAACTAGGGAAACTATATTATACACCATCAAATGCTTCTCAAAGAATATATGATTAAATTTATGAAATTCTAACCTATATGCTTTTAAAATTTATGTAATTCATATAATTCATCAACCATTTCCAGCATGCAACCAATACTCCATGCTTGTGCACCACATGAATGATAACATGGAGAGCCATTTGCATTGGTTAATTCAGGTAGTGATGCCCAAGTTGAATGCTTCAAATGTTCCCAATAAGCACCCATTCGTGATCGTACGAATCGTTTTGCTTTCTCATAAAATTCCGCTCTATTCTTTTCTTCACTGATTATTTTTGCTATGGCTAATTTTG